TGGTTAAGGATATTATAATTAAATTTTTTACCTAGTTTATATGTATTCCTGTACAGTGCATTAAATGCACAAAATGTTTTTAAATCAGTCTTTTGAAACCAGTGCTTAGAACAAAGGTCTCAGATATTCTCACATGCAATTATATTGTTTAGATTGTAGTTTATTTATAATTATACCTTAATCTTTAAAGAGACTTTTATCTAAAATTATTCAAACTTATATATGCTGGATAATATGTTAAAAGAAATATAATATTCTGGAAGTGATGAAGAATTTAAAAAAAATTCATTGATCTACCTTTTGTTTTGTTCTTTATTGTGATTTTTTTTTTTACAATAACCAAAGATATTTTTATATCTTAGGTCATCTTAGCAAAAGAATCTATGGAGCTTTTCTGATCAAAGGGTCTCTTGTTTATGTTAACTCTGTTAACTGTCATCCATGAAAATTAAACCCTAAAATAGGGTATCTAATGGGAATATGTAGTTCAAAAAAAGTGTCTTTTAACGAGCCACAGGGTAATGTTTTACTCATAATTCAATGTGAGTATTCTCAAATGGTGAACTTTCAAGTTGGTCTAAATCATGGACAAGACCTAATACAATGTATTAACAATATTGTAATATTCCTTATTTGTATTTTCATTTTTTTCTTCTTCTGGGATCAGATTTTATATAACTGGTCAATGTATGTATACAGACATGGGGGGGATTAAACATTTTTCTTTAGAATTAGCCTTGTAAGCCATATTGATAATGAAATATCCTCATGTTGTGGAATCAATTTTGGATTAGATGTGGCCTTATGGCCCCTTGGTGGGGCCAAAATATTGGCTCATATTTGTGTTTTACGAGAATTAAGGGGGATAAGAAATGTGAAGAACTCCAAGACTCAAGTAAATATTGTGGGCCAAGTGTCATTTTAATTGCACACTTTCATAACAATTTACCCAACAGAATTTTAATATCTTATTAAGCATATTTTTTTAAGGAGAAAAATAATTTTCTAACATTAATTTCCCTGTTTTGTACACACCATTGTAATGTAATCCTTTTGTCTGATAATTTGGGCTTTCATATAAAGTGCTATTTATAGAACAACAGCGAGTCTCTTTAATTCGATTTTTAACACATTGCCATGTGGTTGGCACTACTTTAATGGCTAACATTTTCTTGTTGACCTGATAGTATGCATTTAAAGAATTGTACCTGTTTCAGTGAGTTTACATTTAAAACAATGGTTCTTAACAAATAGTTGTATCCACTTTGTTTATTTATCAATTTCATATTTTTTGTGCGTATTATTTAATGCACTGATAAAACCTGCGGCTGCGCAGTCCTGCAGGTGTATTGTGCACTTCATAGCTGCAAACTACTGCATGTGTCAATATAGCTGCATATACCCAAAGATAGTTTTCATTATGAAGATAAAATGGGTCAGTCCCAAGTGTTTGCAAGGCTTATTTTTAAAGATATTAAGGTTTTTATTTTCAGTGAGTTTCACTTGGCCGACACAAAAGCAAATCCTTAACTAAACCTTGTAAAAAGGACAAAGAGTATGTGCAAACAAAAGTTTATTATAGTGTTCAAAACAAGATATAGAACATCTGCACACACACACTACACGCACAACTACAAAACAAATACAAAAAAAAAATAATAAATGTGTCTTAAACCGACTAAAATATTGTCAAACCCGATAAGACGAATGTCCACATATCCACAGATCTTTCTATGAATGTGACCCAAGACTTTACCGTTTTGTTCGTTCTGTTCGTATATACACACCGTCGTTGGTTAGAGTTCCTGTTATTGTTGCGACACAGTCAACATCAACCGTCAACGTCTTAGTACGTAGGTTTTCCTCCAACGCTGCAGTAACATCACAGTATCCTATTATGTCAAACGCACTCTACATGTATACACAGCTGGTTGAGCTGGTCACCTATAATATCACATATTATCAAAGTTTGTGGTTCCATAGTCGGTAATAACGCATTACATATAATAAGGAATAACTGGGTATGTCGGATTTACTTCAGATTCCCTATAAATAAAAAAAAACAGTATGGAAGTTATTTTGCTTGCTTAATATGGCGCTTCATGCAGGTCGCAGTTATCAATTTGCTAGGGTTACCACAGGGCTGCACCACAATCAACAATTAATAAAACAAATGAAAGGCCCCAAATCGGGCGGTTCATGCACTGGGTAGGTCACAAGTGCATGAAAATCACCAATGCAATAACCAATCTAATTCAATCAATCAATTATTTATCAAGCAGTCAATCAATCAGTTCAAATATCAATCAAGTAAATTACTTGTCAATCAATCAATTGTTGATCAATCAATCAATCGATTAAAATATCAATCAAGTCAATAAACAATGGAATGAGCGTAAGAATGTGCTGCACTCGTCCAATTGCGTTGAAGTTCGTATTTCAAACACTAAGAATTCCAACCACGATAAGGTTGAAGTGGACGCTATCCCCAACAGGCATACATCAGGGTATAGGCGAAACGGAGACTTCATCACCGCGACATTGGTTGATGTGGACGCTTTACCCAACTGAAAGTCTTTGCAGAATATGCAATCATACAGAATTCACTTATGCGACACCAGTTGAAGAAGCTTTACCGAGCAGGTCACCATTAAGAAATATCGGAGCATACGATCATCACTAGGCTGTTGTGGATGCAGGACTAAGCAGGCAGTCTTCAGCTACAATGACATAACAAAACAGCAGTATATGTTCTAAAACAAGAGGAGAGTGGTTCGGAAAAAATAAAACTTTGCAACAATTCAAATTTATAAATGTTTCCATGACCTTACCGTTTTATGGAATAATCGAGAAAGGAAGAGGAGGAAACAACTAAATATTAGACTATATATGCAAATGGAGCTAAAATATCCGGAATGATAGGTTGTGACTAAGGGTGAATATATATTATACATCTGAAAGGACTTAGGCTATCCGGAATAAAGGGACATTGGGTTACTGCAATAAGCTCACTTATCTGAGACCAGGCTCGTATAAGTGGTATCATTTCAGATTCCCTGTAAATCAAACAAATGGATGTTATTTTGCTTTTGTTTAATATGGCGCTTGTGGTCGTGATGATCACAGGGCTGCCCCACAATCAACAATCAATAAAACAAATGTTTTTCGTGCCAGCACCAACTGCGATACGGTCTCATCCGAAGGACCGGTATTTTATTATGTGTAAACATAACAGGACTGGACAGCAGGCACTGCATAAATAAGTCATCACCATGATACAAAAATTAAGGTAAAAAACGTACAAGTAAATTTTAGCTACATAATATTAAACAATATCAATATATACATGTATATTTTCAATAGAATTGTATTTTAAAAGGCAAATTAAGAAAATTAAATATAAATTAGCTGATGATTTAATTTAAGTTTGCTTTGATTTGATTTAATTTTCTCAAGAACAGCAAAGGCTTTGTTGTCGAATTAATATAAAAAATGATAATGTAGATTTAATTTAATTTAAATCATTTATCCCGGAGGAGGAGGGGGGGGTTAGGATCTGAAGATCACAGTTATACATAGAAATATATCATAACAATCTTTTTTTAAAAAATCTTCTTAGAGCATTCATGATTTTTCATATAAATTAAAGAAAACTTTCTCACTGTTCAAATCATGAACCTTTGAGGTAGGGTGACTAACAGTAGGAGAAAAAATTTAGATGTAGGAATATATAGGATACTCTTCAGAAATTTATTCTGAAGAATAAAGATTAATCAATTTTTTCAAGGCATTCTCTGGTAGTGTAGATAAAAATATGTTCAAATAACAAATGCTTTGTATAGGGTTGGTGTACATGTATATATCTAAATATTTTATGTTCATATCATTTATTACCCAGTGGGGTTGATTTTCAGTATGGGCTTCTTCAGGTTCATACCTACTATATCAAGTCCACATGTCTTAACATCCTTATGAGATTAAGTTTATTTTTAATTCTTTTTAACCTGTAACAGTCATATTAAGTATAAACAAGAAAAAAATGATGTAACCACCAATTGTAGCCCGGGAAATAGAATAAGTAACCAATAGAAAAGAGTCTTTATGATCAAACAGCTTTCATATGTTTGAAAAAAGATGCATCTGCATGATGGAGGCTATAGGCCAGATAATTTATAACTTAAAGTCGGATGCAAATCGAAAAAAAGGTACACTTTTTAAAAAAGATTATCCATTCCTCAAGTAAGCTCTGGCTGTAAATATATAAATTAAAATCACACATATCCATTTTTTTTTCGAAAATGTATTACTAAAATAAATAAATAAATAAATAAATAAATAATATAAGACACGAAATATGAAACATAAGGTTTTATGCGATAGTACATGGATAACCACCTATATATATTAAATATGAAAAAAACACATATATTTTCAAAGAATCACTTCATATAAGTAAAAATAATGTGTATTGCGTAATTTAGAAAGGAAAAGAATATGCTGATGTATAATCTACCTAATGTAAAGATAACTTAGCTTTTGATTCTGAATAACGTCTCCCAACTCTATCCAATACACCAAAACGTATATGTATTGAGCAGTCGGTCTCCAGGGCTGCAATAAACCCTTTTATTCAAATAAAGTTGGCGTATTTAATGTTTGTTAATCCTTAATTTCATGTAAACCCGCCCATGGATCGATTCCTGAAATCTCAGTATATTTGTCCAATCGGAAAATAGATAATTAGGAATTCTGTTTGAAAAAAAAAATCATTTATATAATGTTATTAAAACTTTAAATGACGGATATTTCCCATTAAGATTTCAGAAACAACAGTTACTATGATGAACATGCTATTCTTTGGGGCTTTATTTGTTGTTTTGTTCAGACTTTCCACGTCTGTATCAAGGTACTACACTGCTAAAATAGACTTAGACGACAGGATACTCCAGGAAAACCTCCTGTCCGAATATGACGTGCATTCACTGATTATGTGCTCAGCAATGTGTGGTCCAGAGTGTACCTACTTTGGTGTTAATTTACAAAGACAGAAATGTCGACTTTACACCGGATGTCATTCAACTAATTCAGCAGTACCGGAAGTAGGATGGAGATACTATTTTCCGGACTCGGAAGGTAATGCAATACATTCTCGCCTTTACGTCGCGGTTTTCTATTTTCATTTTTCATATTTCTTCACGGTGAAAACCCACTGACACGTTTTTAGGAGGGCATATATTTTAATCCAAATTTGTTGTCAATTTTCAATATAATTTATGTATTCAACAGTGTTGCAAGGTATATTTTGCAGTTTATAAATCATAAACTGGTCCAAGTAATGTTATATCCTATACCATCAGTTGAAATTATGTCCTAATGTTCCAGTGATAACTATTATGAATTTATATTATGATATTGAACCATTTAAGATTTGAAAAGTTAGGAAATATACGTGTTACTTAGCTGAATCCTTGTTTGGTGTTTTTAATGATATTTGAAGAAGTCTACACCTCTAAATAATAGATCAAATTTCCAGAAAAAAGGAGTTAAATCAACGCTAAGTATTTTAAAAAAAAGTTTTTAAGAAGGCAAAGTACCGGTAAACACTAAATAATACAAGGTCCCTGTAATGTGCACGACTTCAAAGCCGAGTTTGCATATGTGTTGAGGCAACAAAAGATCAGAATTCGGCATATTAATTTTTTTTTTTGTAAAATGTAACATTTATACATCGGAAAAGTCATGGATAAAAGAGTTACTACCATTTTCAATTCGATAGACTTAGACTAAAACACTTCCGCACGACGTCATCATGTGATGTATATAAATATGAATAGATGCCTTATAAGTCACCTGAGGTTGAATGGAAGGCATCAATTTCCCAACAATTGAAATTAATTTGTTTTTTTTAACTGCGAGGCCTTGAAAATCACAACATTTGAGAGGCACAATTGCTAATCATAACTGTACACATAGCATGCTTGCATTAAAATATACATTTAACTTATAAAAACGATAGGCCAGCACGTTTTACATGCAATATGCGAACTATGTTGTGATATCGGGTAATATTATGCATGTATAAATTAAGGGGAAGTTGAGAGTTTAAAAAATAATTACAGTATCAATAAAATAAATATCAACAAGAGAAAAGGAATTCTTGAGATCGATTGAAAAAAAAAATTTCAGTATTATTTATGCAATGTCATATGGGTGAGCTGGCTAAAATTTCTTTGATAATAATCTTAGTTAATAATTCGTACTTGTATCTTTATATCCCACTTTCCTCATTTGGTACAAAGATCATCATTCAGAATATATTTTATTGATTAAATTACCCATAGTTCATTTAATATAAATTAATTCACTTTAATGCATGCACTTTTGCATAGTGCCTGATAATGATAAAATCTTAAAAGAAGTATCACTGCTTTTATGACTTCAATAAATATTTTCAGAAAGCTTCAAATGGCTTATCTTAAAATTATGTTAAAATGAGATTGATTTATGGTAATAACATATCATTGAATCTTATACAATTATTGCTGTTTTTGAGGTCAATACAATGATTTAGCCATCTGAGGAGTATAATATTCACCGAGCCCGAAGAATATTGTACTTCTAAGATGGCTTAATCATTGTATTGACCGAAAAAAACAGCAATAATTGTTTTATTATATGATTCACTGATAAAATGATACAGTTTATTACTTGTTTGCATTTAGTTTTAGCCAAATACAAGAGAGAAACAGAATTAAAATGTAAATAAATTTTACCAGTCGTATTAATTTGAAGTAATTTTTATCAATTTTAGTTGCCGTGAAAAAAATAACATAAAGTCAGTCTTCTTTATAGGAAAGATTTTGAAAGGAAGGAGTATTATCTGGGAAAACTGACTTCCAAAAAGAAAATATTGTTGTTTAGTAAGTGTTGGCGGGGGTCCCTGCATCCCCCTTACCACCCGTACCTGACAATATATATTCGCTTATGATTTGTTCACAATAAAAAATCATAGTCGTTTAAGTAGCTTTCCAAAACAATTTGTTTCAATTTAGAATTTCCCGATCTACTTTTTGATTAATGTACTGTAGAGGTAATAAATCCTTGTATTCACCCCGAACGTCACGTGCAGGTCAATACAACGTAATATTTTTCCAACATTGTTGGATCTCAGCCAATCAGAGAGATGGAAATTATTCAATCATATAATAAGATCCATTATTTAGATGTTTATGCAGAATACTTTTCATCTTGAATCAGTATGATTTCTCTCCTAGCGAAAGTTAATGGATTTTAAATAAACTTATAACATAATAATGATGAACAAGATTGCTTTTTCCAAAATTGTGAAATTTATTACCCCAGGGTCAGGGGTTCTGTTTAGGTCGTATAACACTAACAATTCAAATTTACAAAATTATTTGGAGGTTAAGACTGATTTCTTATATTGGAATTTAATATGTTAGTTCAGAAAACAGGTATTTCATTTTACAACATTCAAAATTCTAATTTCCAAAAATAAGATTTGTGTTTTTAGCTTTCCAGTTTTTAATCTAACGTTTGCTTAGAACCTTTACACTTAATAATCTAATGTTCAGAACACTGTTACGACCTTTGATATTTCAAACTTTACTTCAAATGTCTATTTTGCAGGTTAAAAACATTTTAAATTTTTTTGAAATTTAGAATTTTTATTCAAACCTCCAAATTTCAAAACATTTGGATTTTAAATATTTACTTCAAATATCAAAAATATCAGTTTACAAACCTGGTTTGAGATTGAAACTATTTCAAAAACACTTTTGGTTAAGCAGAAAGTTTTAAGATATTAGAATATTAGACTAATTTTCAGAATTCAAATATGATATTTTGGATATTTAAAGTAAAATTCTAAAGCCTCAAAGTGTTTTGGTAATCTAAAATCAGTACATTTCAATTAAAATCCAAAATTTCTAAAAAGAAAAAAAATCTAAATTGTTTCAACTTTGGATTTTAGAGGTTTGAAGCTTTTGTCAAATAATCAAAAGATAAAATTTGCAAATGAGTTTTGGATTCTTAAGCATAAACTTTTTGAACAAATTGTAGATTAAAAACGCAAAAAATTTAAATACATCAATAGTTATTGGAAATTTAGAATTTATAACCTTTAAGGTAAAAATTTAAAATATCAAAATTTTAAAAACTCTTTGGAAATTTGAACATTTCAATTTTCAACTAAAACAATAAATTTCAATACACCAAATATAATTTTTTTTTAATTTAGATACTTGAAGTTTATATTAACATTCTAGAAATTTGAATTATTGAGTGTTACACGGACTGGGTGGGGCTCTTTTGAATATATGATGGAAATACATTGAATATTTGAAAATCTTCTTCTCTTCTCCTGTGTTTTAAGGTATATTAAGGAACTTTTTATATCGCTATGATGAGCAAAGGCCTCTCTTCCAAATTTGTGCATTTCGAGGTCCCAGGGTCAGGGTTACCATAGAAGAGGGGCTCTATGTGTATACTGAAAATGAATTAATTGTTTAATATCTGCTCGTTGGTATCGATCAAACCCTTTTGATAAGCAAGGGTATTGCTTTTTTTTCAAAATTGTGAGTGTGTGGCCAACTGTAAGGGGTTCATGTTTGGTAGGTCAGGAGCGTTACTGATTATTTGTGAATATTTCTGAGGGGTACAACTGATTATTTGTGAATATTACTGAGGGGTACTACTGATTATTGCTGAATATTACTGAGGGGTACTACTGATTATTGCTGAATATTACTGAGGGGTACTACTGATTATTGCTGAATATTACTTCATTTGAAATGCATCCTTTGTTCCACTACCCTGCCTATGGTTATTAAGTAACCAAATTAAGCCATTGTTGAGTGTATAGTTATGATGAGCAGTGGTACCCCTTTCAAAATAATGAATGTCATGACATCTTGTTACAATCATTATCCAACTTCAATAATGGGAAGCTGTTCCATGATGCTCAGGTGACCTATAAGGTCCATGGGCCTCAAGTTAATCCTGGTGTTCAAATTTAATGAAATCCCAATTACCTTTGGAAATTAAAGTTCATGTTTTCGCACTCTTTTCTATATTGAATCACATCAGACCCAAAAATTAAAAATATATAAATAATATGATATAATTAAGAAAATCTGTTATTTTTTTTAATTGCACAGGAAGAGCTATGTCTTTCAATTAATTGAAACGTGACTGCATGAAAGGAAGCTAAATGGCAGATATTCACTATCAACTGACCTTTCATTGACTTTTCAGTGACGATTTAATTGACTGAATGGTATAGGTTCATCCTATATTGCACTTTTTTTCTACGTAAAAATAATTATTGATTTTTTGATGAATTTTAGGGAATATTCGTCCGATTGATTGTAGAAGTTTACTTGCTACCTGTTACTTTATATCTGGTGTTTATACGATCTATCCCTGGTACGACCGATCAGTGGATGTTTACTGTGATATGGATACAAACGGTGGAGGGTGGACGGTCAGTGTGATTAGTTATTAACACTGCATGAAATTACAACAGACAGAATATATGAATACAAATATTATGAAAGGATTTTGAGAATTCTTTTTGTTCTTACAATAGGTTATACAGAGGCGTGTGAACGGATCCATCGATTTTGACAGAACTTGGAATCAGTACAAAGAGGGATTTGGTTCTGCACAGTCATCTTATTGGATAGGCATTCATAATTTATATTTTTTTTTAATTTTTGAAATGGATATCAGGATTCAATTGATTAAAAATATCGAGACTCGTGTGATTTACAATATTATTTTTAAAAAATCACATATTTTGTAAAACGTCCTTCATAAAAGTAACACACTCTTAAAATTGTTTTCACCTGTAAACCTTTCCTAAGTGTGATTTCTCTGTTATTAAGGTCTTCCGTCTCCAACGGAAGACCTTCTTGTTATTCTTCGGTTTCTTTTTCCCTATTCTTACCGATTTTGTGCACGCGATTTCTCAAAAACTACAGGGCCGATTCTCATGAAACTTTCACACCTGGTAGGTACTGATCTGAACCTTATTGGAAATTTTTTTCGTTGACGACTTCACTTCTGGTCGTGAGATATGGATTATTTTCTGATTTTTAAATGCAATTTTGTCTTAACCAAGTAGCGAAAACTGCATAAGATATGAACTTGAGACTGATTGGAGATGATAGTTCATGACTTATAGCTTTGCAGAATCACCTTTCCGTGTGTCGTCAATACTTCCGGTCGCTACCGGAAGCGATATTCAAAAACGCATTTTTTTAACTTTTCTTTTTTTATATTTTTGTTGTAGAATTGAATAGAAACCTTTTTGCAGAAGCAAAATATGCAATTTGTTTGAAAATCGAAAAAGCCAATCTCGAGATATTTGCATTTGAAAACTCGAAGCGGCGATTCCAATGGCTGAATGGTTAGCGCGTTGGATTGTCACGCGGGTGACCCGGGTTCGATCCCCAGTGTGTCCGAAAAATTTTATCACTTTTTCTGCTCGATTTTTCGCTATTTTTTAATTTTAGACCATTTGCAACAATATATTATAAACTTTTAAGCATATCTTACGTAATTAGGGGTCACAAGGGGCCAGAATGCTAAATCTTTGACGCGTCATATCTTGAAAAGAGGGAATATTTTGATAAGCAATATTGAACAAAAGATGGTCAGAATAATATTCTAAACAATATGCATACTTTGAATTTTTGTAAAACGGCCCCATTAAGGACTTGTAGGGGTGACCCCTAAATATTTCCATTCAGCATATCTCCTAAACGAAAAGAAATTTCTGAATAGGTGTTGAACAAAAAGTCTTTAAAATCACAAGACCTTTCATTTGATATCAAGAAAAAGGGGCTGATTCCTCAAATTAGGGGCTCAGAGGGGCCAAAAGTCTTTCATCTTTAACTCTTAAATGATCAATATTTTGTGATACATTATAGAAGCAATGGTATTCGTCTTAACGATATGCAACAATATATGATAAAATTTGCATCATATGTTACGTAATTAGGGGTCACAAAGGGCCAGAATGCTAAATATTTGACGCTTCATATCTTGAAAATGGGGAATATTTTGATAAGCAATATTGAACAAAAGATGGTCTCAATAATGTTCTAAACAATATGCATACTTTGAATTTTTTTTTAAAACGGCCCCATTAAGGACTTGTAGCGATGGCCCCTAAATATTTTCATTGAGCATATTTCCACAACGAAAAGAAATCTCTGAATAAGTGTTGAACAAAAAGTCTTCAAAATCATAAGAACTTCCATTTGATATCAAGAAAAAGGGGCTGACACCTTAAAATAGGGTCTTAAAGGGGCCAAAAGTCTTGCATCTGTACCTCTTTAATGATCAATATTTTGTGATACATTACAGAAGCAAAGATATTCATCTTAACGACTTGCAACAATATAATATAAAATTTTGGCCTTATCTTACGTAATAAGGGGTTGCAAAGGGGCCAAAATGCTATTTTTTGTCATGCTTTACGTCTTGAAAAGGGGGGGGGATATTTTTATAAGCCATATTGAACAAAAGATGTTCAGAAAATCGTGATAAAAATGAGAAACTTTAAATTCATTGAAGGAAAACTTAATGTCATTCTCTTTTAACGAATATCTCAGTCAAAATCACATCTCATCTTATCGAGAAATTCAACGGAAGACCTACTCGTTGCTCGCAACGAGATCTCATCTAGTTTATTATTATTATTGAAATATTACGAATATTTTTAGGTCTATTTCATTTTCAAGTTCTTAGGAGAAAAAAATTCTAAGATTTATCCACTTTTCTAAACTTGTGACCTGATATTAAGTCCCCTTCAAAGAAAAAAAAATGTTTGTATCATTTCTCCTTAAACCGAAAGACCATTTTTTTCATTTTATCATTGAACATAATGCGATTGAACTTAAAGCAAAAATTAATCCAGCATTGAAAAGCTTAATTGCATAAGGGGAACCCAATCTATTTCTAAATGGAGGTAGGAGGGTTATGATTTTAATTGCCTTGAATCTTAACTAATAAGGATATGGAGATAACAAACAGTATTCAATCTCAAAGTACATTAAACAATACAAAACAGGAGGAGGGCAAACAAAGAAAAAGAAAAACCCGTCGTCAGTTCAGTGTATAAATAATGGACTAACAATTGATATGAAAAACGTCAGTCAGCATTTGACTCAATCATAATTTTTTTTTTTTGACAAGGTCATTGTATCGACCAAAAAACTTAAGTAATGATGACTTTAAACGAGACTGCTGATATTTTTGTTTCGTCAACTTGCTTGTCAATAATTTACCTCGTTTTAGAAATTTAGCATGCTCTTGCATATCGAATCAACTGAGATATATAGACTCCGTATGCAGGTGATGAAGGTATATTGCTGCATAAGTAAGAGAAGTTGACGATAAAAAAGGTAAAGTCATCACGTTTATCATATAGCTTGGTTGTTATATTACCATAAGTGTCTTTTACAAGTAGAATATCCAAGTATGAAACAGAAGTGTCGGACTCTTTGGTATCTTTTATCTCAAGCTCAACAGGATATATCGTATCAACGTAGGAATTGAAATTACCATGATTATTAATTGACATAATTAACTAAGAATTCTTGCATATTCATTGTCTCACTGTGGCTTTTTCGCCCATAAGTTTGAACTTTATTTTTGGCCCTAACCTAGCCCAGGGGTCATGTTTTGAACAAATTTGATTCTACGCTTCATAAGGATGCTTCCATATAGATATGACTAGTAATGGCTGTGTTGTTCTTGAGAAAAAAAAATAAACAAATTTTCTTAAATATTCCTTTCTAAATCTTTGATCTGCTGAATTTGGCTCAGTGGTTTTGGAGAAAAATTAGATATCCATGATCATGTTGGTAAGAATATACAACACCAAAACACATATGAAAATAATTTAGCAGATATACGAGGGTCATTCAAAAAGTTCGTAGACTTTTGTCCTATCTTTTTTATTTAACGTCATATTATATCCAGATTTGGTGCAAATATTTTAACAACAGATTCAGATAATTTGAGTAAAAAAATTAGAATGTATCCTCATATTTATTAAAATTACCAAGGATTTAGAACAGCAAAAATGGGGTCACGGAGCACCGTCAAAATTGAGTAATTTTCTAATTTTTATCTTTATAGTATTTACAGCTATACATCTAATAAATGGAGCTGAAACGAAATAAAATTTACATGTTTAAATCAATTATTGCTGTATTAATTAGAATGAAATCAGGTTATGTAATATCTCGTTCTGCTTAAAAGATATCAGCTTCTTAATACATATGGACTTGATTAAAAAAGGCAAAAATCCATGACGTTGGAGGACGTCACGGAGCAGCAAGTAGCAATAAAATTAGACTTTACATTCGGGAAACTTTTTCTACAAGCTTAAAAAAATCCTTATAAATCAGGATCTGTATGAAAAAAAATCTGTGTATTTGTATTAAGTTGAAAATACAATTTTTGAGTGGTAGCGAGTTTGAATCGGACGATGGATTGTCTGCAAAGAAACAGGTTAAAGTTAAAAATATTGTCAAAAGAGTTAGGAACGTATCTGAACGTGATGTGTGCTTCAATGTTGCAGAATTAATAAAGTTGCATGGTAAATCAAAGAATTTGAAAACAATAACATTCTAATTCAAGCTATATTCGTACAATTGTTAGCAAACCAGGTGTTAAGTATTGTGGATATGTGTTTTGAATGGAGAAGACGCAACAAACAGTGTATGAAGTAACAAAAATGTGTATACTTTTGACAGCGTTGTTTTTGACGTTACAATATTGGTTAACCGTGCTCCGTGGTAACAAAACATGTTGCTTTTAATTTTGTCTAACGTGAGTTCTGTTTAATTAAATGGAATGAAACTTCACAGTTCGACAAAATAAATGTTTATGTTTACGGAAATGTGTTGATATATAATCTTGTAATAATCATATGACAATGAGAAGCATTGTCTACGTATTTTTTGAATGACCCTCGTACTTTAAATATTTAATTTAATCGGAAACCAGACAAGAATCCCTCCATAAAATAGATCTATTTCAAGAAAGTTGATCATGCCATGTCCTTCACTATTCTATTTTAGGAAATGACATCATTCATCAATTAACCAAGAATAGACCGGCTCTCTATGTGTCCATTACTTTGACCAATGGAACTACTCTATATCAACAGTACGGGGAATTCTCTGTAAATAATGAGACGGACAACTACAGACTTTACCTTGCTGGACCGACCGAAGGGACATTAGGTGGGTCGTCAGACTACTTAGTTGGATGAATATAGAATCTTTATACATTTGTAAATAATTGATAATTAAGGAATGACTCTAATTCTTGGCCAAATTATTCGATTATAATCTGGTTTGGGTCAGTTTACACTTTATAATCCGCAAAGATATGTATTCATATATTCTGTTAAAATCGAATAATTTGGCCAAGTATTAAAATCATTCCTTATATTTTGATTTCAAAATAATCTAACAACACTGGGTGTAAAGTTGTGCTGCTTTTTATGAGTTCAAATTTGCCGCTCAATAATACATCCCTAGTAACGGAAGTGATATGAAACAAGGGGAGGTAATAACTGATACACAAATCTAGCAGTCATGATATTTGTTTAAATGAGGTAAGATCAAGCTACTGTTTGAAGTTACAGGTACATTTATTATATCTGGAATTTCCATGAATCACAGGGACTGTAAATGACGGGATTGCATGGATACAGATGTTTCAGCTGTTGTTAAGGGGGGGGGGGTGTCCCCATACCAAGCCAGGTTATTGAGAAATAATTTGCGTTCCTTTTTGGATATCAACCAAAGAAAGTCTAGAATACAAACTAAATTAAATTATAATCAAACACTCTAACAGTACATACATTTGTGGGTGATAAAAGGCCGAATAATGTCATGGATTTAATATCTGGGAATGGATAAGATCGCAATCCCTGAAAATTATGTTCATAATGAGTTTTTTTTCTTCTTTAACTTTATTCATAATTTATTTCATCAATTAAATCGGATAGGTACCCATGTTTTCCAACTTTTTTACAGATGTAAAGATGAGAGTTACATTGGATAAATTATCAATCAAATTACAAATCGACTAACTAACACAATAATATTGTGTAAGAAGGAATGAAATCTCATTGCCGACGTTTATGAAGTCATATTACTTGTTTTTCTTAATTTTCATTTTCTTTACTTATACAGGGGACAGTATGTTAGACACTGGTTATTCTTATCACGATCTGTCTCGGATGTACTTCTCCACCCCGGACAGAGATAATGACAGACTGACCGGAGATTATTATTGTATCTATTTTACTGTCATAATATTGTATTTCAGGAGACAGCATGAGAAGATAATGACAGATTGACTGAAGATGACTGTTGTGTCTATTTATACTGTTATGATATTGTATTACAGGAGACAGCATGAGAAGATAATGACAGATTGACTGGAGATGACTGTTGTGTCTATTTATATTGTTATAATATTGTATTTCAGGAGACAGCATGAGAAGCGACCACGATCTGTCTGGGATGTCCTTCTCCACCCCGGACAGGGATAATGACAGAAATAATATTAACTGTGCTGCTCTCAGTGACCGTAGAGGAGGCTGGTGGTTTAACGCCTGTCACTGGGCCTTCCTTAACGGTCCCTGGTCACCGGAGTACTGGTCCGCTCCATGGTCTCCTACAGTCAGGGATGGTGAAGAGATTAAAGAGACTCTTATGATGATTAAAGCTCACTAGTACTGTTCAATATTGTTTTTGTCAGAAAATTTTATTGTCTTTTTTTCACAACCAACACAATGACTGTAAAGCTTTTGGCAGACGACTGGTTTGGTACCATATACAGGACAGCCTGTCTTATCCAGACTAGATGTTATTTTGATTACAAAAACATTTTAAGAATCATATTTAATGAAATGAATTTAAATATCGCCTCGTATAAGACTAGACATATATACATTATAAAGATAAGACATGGTTTACTATAGTTAATTTTGTAAGTGAAGGGAAGTAGCATTGAGAATATTGCTTCACTTCTTATGTTTTAAATAACTTTCAAAATGATCACTTTTATGCAGAGGATAAATTACAGGTTTTCAATGTTGAAACGTAATAAGGGTGTGTATTATTTAATGAAACCTTATGTAGCAAATTGTTATTCTTTTACTTATTTCAAAAATTATTATCTTAATTGTATATTTATTTATAAATTGATCTAAAGGAATCCCATGGGTACTAATTGCGATCCGTTATTAGCAGACCTATTTTTGTATTCATATGAAGCAGAATTTGTGCAAAATCTTATGCGTGAAAAGAAAAAAACACTTGCTGTGGCATTCAACTCAACATTTAGATATATTGACGACGTATTGTCAACTAACAATTAATGGTAATTGCCCTTCCTATGTCGATACTATATATCCTGATGAGCTTGAGAATAAGGATACTACAGAGTCTGACATATCTGTTTCATATCTGGATATTTTTAGTTGAAAAAGACGTTAATGGTAATCTAACAACCAAGCTCTATGATAAACGTGACAACTTTAACTTTTCTATCGTCAACTTCCCTATTACTTATGCAGCAATATACCTTCACCACCTGCATACGGAATTAATAGATGTCAATTGATATGCAAGAACATGTTCTATGTATGAACAATTTCTATAACGAGATAAATTTTTGACAAACAAGTTGATGAAAAAGAGATATCAACAGTCTCGTTTAAAGTCATTATTACTTAAGTTCTATGGTCCATACAATGATCATGACCGTGTCAGGAAAATGCAATTTGTCATCGAGAAAAATGCTGACTGACGTTTTTCATACCAATTGTTAGTCCATTATTTATACACTGAATTGACGATGGATTTTCTGTTATTTCTTGATTATGATCAGGAGCACACTCCCCCATGGCACTTGATCCCACCTCTGATGTTTTGGAGGTCCGTGTTTGCTCTGCTACTATTTTGTTTTGTTTTATGGCACTTGTTACAAAATAATCCATATCCTTCATTCAATCTATTATCTCTAAAAAGAACTATGTAAAAAGTTTCCATAAAAAAATATTAATTTAAAATATACAATATTTTAAACAAATATTTAATACACAATATGCCTGCAAAAGGATCTAATGATCTAAATCACGTGATTACAACCGTGATCTTACTGATTACATTGTAATGCAGCGATTGATTCTATGTTATTCTAAGAGGGCACTGTTTAAAAACAGTTAGTGACGTTAGCTTTATTTTATTATAGATTTGCTTAAAATCTTGATATTTTATATTTAAATTATGGATTCTTCTTACCATCTAAATATAAACCAATCTATTAATATTTATTTAAGAAATAAAATCCGCGTTTTCGTGAATGTTGCAGGATAACCTCCGAGGTTGAGAAACGTTGTTTGAAAGATAAAAGCCGAGACCGAGGAGGTTATCCTGAAACATTCACGAAAACAAGGAATTTATGTCTATTCTGCAAAGGTCATGAAGATCGCTAAATTACGCCTGATCGTTTCCTCGGGAAACGAGGAAACCGAGATTCATCAGCAAATTGATGCAATTTACAGTGTTCAGACTACGAAAGAGGACACATCTATGTGGTCTATACGTCTAAACAAGTATTTCATTTTAGACTCAAATATTTATTTCATCTGTACAGGTTTGATACGTGTTTCCGATCTAATTATTTTTTGATGACGTTCGTGATTTATTGGAGAATAATGTCCGCGGCATTTTTTTGATGTCTTCAATAATCGTGATTATTATTTTTAAGATGTAATTATATAAAATATTGTGGGTTATACCGTTCAATTTATGTTTAGAAATTGTTTTCTCCGTGATAAGGCAAATGAAAAGAGCTGTCGTTTTTTAATTAGAGGTCCGACTTGGATGGTGATTGTCAATGATAAGCAATCACAGAACTTTAAACGGGATTTCAAATCAATGATCGTAAATATTTTTGTATGTTCATCTCACCGTTCATCAGACACAATTTAAATAATCAAGCATTCAATATAATATTTAAATTTCATTTAATTGATAAATATTTTAAAAAATAAAATTTTCGGGATTTTTTTCTAAGCTAACTGACCGTTCACGGTAGCTCAGTCGGTAAAGCGCTCGCTCCGTGATCGGGAGGTCGTGAGTTCGTATCTCGGCCGCGACTGACCCAGTCGATAAAATGGGTAGCAACTGTTCCTTCGCCATGCGCTCGGCACTTTGAAGTGAAAGTTGCGGGTCCTTCGGATGAGACCTTAAAAACCGAGGCCGCGTGTCAGCGGTAGGCGTTGGCACGATAAAGATCCCTCACTGCTCAATGGCCCTGAGTGCCGAGTAAAGGTCAAAATTTGAAGCCCTTCACCGGCATACGGTGACGTCTCCGTATGAGTGAAAAATTCTCAAGAGGGACGTTAAACAATATACAATCAATCAATCAATCTAAGCTAACTGGGAAATCGATTTTAACATAAATTTTGTGTATAACCATAAAAAATACAAAGAGAATCTCAGGCTAAAGTGACGACTTACTGAGACTTCCGAACATTGAAATCAATACATTTAGTTTAGTTTGCAGCTCTTAAACAAGTAAAATGTCAAAATAAGGAATGTTTGTGTGAAATCTGGTCTGCAAATCAATAGACTTTAAAGTTGGTATACTTTTATACAGCGCCGACTTGCTTCAAGAAATAGGCCTATGTGTTAAGTCTATGTTATAGCTAATCATGCATAAAATGGTACTCTTTTCAAAACCTCACCTTGATACAACAAGAACTGCAATATCTTAAAAATTGTTAATTGTAAATATTTTTATGTTCGATTCTTACACATTTATGTGATATAAGTGGTGATAATAAATATATGTCTTGATTTATTTGACTTCAATTTGTGAAAAAGAAAGAAAATCGATCTGCTGTTTAAAGATACCTGAGATATTTTAAAAATGCTGGTATACAGATTTGTGTAGAAAGTAAAGATAATTTTTTTTTCTCTATATATTTCATTGACAACAAGGTTTGTGAAATCGCTGGTCACTTTTGTCCAATTTCATTTATTTATCAAAGTACTTAAAAAGGAAAATGTGTTTTTTTTTACTAAAAGATCATAACTTATTCAACTTTTAGAAAAAAAAATGTTGGTTTATTATTTACATCAGTTCTAAGATTTAAGATCAATGTTGACTATTTAATATATAAATTCACTGTACGTATTGAACTTTTAGTTTTCATGTCAGACTTAAATACAATATTTATATCCACAACATTTCCACTAATAATAATAAATCCTATAAAATGAAAAGCCTTTCCGTAGCTTGTTCTAGTTGCTAGAACCAATACAGAAGACATGAGAACTTAAGTTGAATGAACGTTATATATTGGCCAGATAAACGAGGAAAGTGAACAAAAGTGCATAAATAAATAATTATATACAATCATATAAATTATAGCTGGGATAAGGGCAAATAATGAATAGTTTCAATTTAGATATGATATATAGCGATTAACTGCTTATCCCAGCTATATATTGTTATATTATGATTACCAAGTTTGTGTAACAAGAAGGTGGCCTTAACAAAGAGGCCACATGGCATGCTAAATGCTTGCATGACGCGCCACCCAAAGAAAGACATTTCATGAATAATACGATGCTGGTAAAAAAATTGTAGCAAAAATGTGTTATTTAACACAACATTGTGAACTTAATAACATGTTCCTGTATAGACTAAATAAGCATAAGCATGAAAACCAGAGGTAGACACAGAGTTATTATACAATTAATTACTCTTCATCATTTTCTTGGTTATGGCAACATTAGTTTATTTACAATCTTATAAGATATGTATTAGCGTGAGTACAAGAAAGTATTATAATACAAAAGTATCATAATACTTGTATTATACTACAAATCTCATCGTGTATACCAACACAACATTGTGTGTTCCTGTACCCAGAGGTAGACCAGAGTCACCTAGTGGACCTGGTGACCTGACCTCACCTAGTGGACCTGGTCGAGGGACCTCATTTTACCATGTTGATCTGATGAAGAGTAATTAATTGTTTTATTATACAGATATAAACAGAAGCAAAATATATTCTGCATTAAACTTTATTTTGTAACAAGACAAAAAATGTTGTAACATAAACAAAAGAAACAGTTCTAATACTCCAGTGTTTTATGTCGGTAAATTGTCTAAGCATTTTGATTGTAACATATGAATTCATGCAAGAGAAATTCATTTTTTAAGCTTTGTCATTTAGATGATAGTGGATATTAACCTGATTGACATGATAAAATAATGGCCCACAGGAACGGATGCTTGGCACTCTGACTCAGGAAACTCATTAAAAATTTCAGAAACTAACTGAACATTATCCAGCTGCTGAACTTCATAATTTGAAATATTAGAGAGATAGAAATTCAAAATTTGAGCACTTTCTTCAGAACCATGAGCCGTTGATGTTGTATTGACAACACTCTGTAAAACACTGCACATTTCATGCTTTTTCTCATCAGACACATTTCTAGAATAACATTTGATCGAGTTTTCATTTTTGTGGCCGCTTATAGACGTTATATGACGACCTTCAACACATTTTTGATCCAATGTGGTTATGCAGGTGGCACGGATAGAGTGATTTGTATAGGTGTGCGACAGTTGAGCTTTTGGTGACATGGTTTTCATGAAACTCCCCAGTGTGTTATGCCCAACTGGAATGTTATCATACCACACGATA